GCTCGGGAGGCCAGCGGTAGATACCGACGCGGGTCTTGTACGCTGTGGGCGTCCAATTTCTGTTCCTGTTCCGGGTGATGATGAGACGGTTTTTCGCTTCGATGAACTTCCACATTCGATTGCAGAAGATGTGGCCATCCTCTGCCACTTGTCCCTCTGCCTCCATTGAAAGATCGCGTACTGGATTTTCCCGCAAGTAGTGTGGGTCCCAGACGTTGTGGCCACCCTGAATCAAGTACTTGCCATCGACTGCAATTATCTTCGAATGGTTCCACGACACGCCTTTCCGCCAGGAGCCAACGTAAAGTTTCAGCTTCGAACCTTGAGGAAGCTCGTACCCAGGGAACTGAGTGAGGGCTTTGCAGAGAGCGACGTTATCGGTGGGCATCCCAATAATGTTACCAGTCAAAACACGTACGGTCACACTCTTCTCTGAATCTGCGAGGGTCTTAAGCGCAATTGCGATATGCTCGAGGAACCTTCCATCGGGCGGCCCAAGGCTTGCGAAGTCGACCCATTGTGTGGCTCGAGAGATGATCTCGCCAATCCTCTGGGGGAAGAAATCGGAGTGGGAGGTAGCCTCGACCTCGTCCAACGTGCACTCCCTATAATACTTCCCTGGTGGTGTCTGGGTGATCTCGCCCACGCACATGCCATGTGTGCGGTTCCAACAGACCCCTCTATACTTCGCGTGCTTGGAGGCCAAGGCCTTGTATACTGCCCTTCCGACGTGCGAGTACTCCGCGGGAGGGGCCTCGTCCGCGGTGCACGGGAGCATCTGCTCGTCTTCGTCGGACGCGTCGCTCCAAATCTCCTCCTTCAGGCCATTGAGGATGAAGGCAGCCTCCCTGGCAGCTCCCTGGGCAGCCTCCTGGGCAAACCGGATGCCCCCCTTGGCAGCTCCCTGGGCAGCCTGGAGGCCCCTCCCTACGTCATCTATGCCGACCGGAGAAGCCTTTACAGCTCCCTGGGCAGCGTCCTGGGCAAACTGGATGCCCCTGCGCGCTTCTCCGAGTAAGCCGTAGTAGCCTGAGCCAAAACTTTGGGCTCTTCTGGGCCTCTCCTCGTCAGGCACGGTGGTCTGCTCGATCTTGGTGGCATCAGTGGGGTCAGGGCCCGCGCAGCAGAACATTGGAAGCGTTGTCGCTGCTCTCGCTGCGCTGGGCCCTTGACAAGCCAAAGTCCTTCTTGCCACCTCGGCACTTCAGCTTGAGCCACAGCGCTTACGTACTGACCTTTGAGGGGCCTCTTGGATGCCCTAGTGCAGTCTTGGGGACATGTCTGAGGGGCTTGGGGTCGTTAGGAGATTCCTGGTGCGGTCCTGAAAGGTCGTCGAGCCCTCTTGGGGAGGTATCAGGGCCGCCCTGGGCTTGTCTTGAGCCCTGCTGGGGCCCTCGCGAAAGCATCTTGAGGCCCTCCAAGAGGTCTCTAAAGGCCCATTGGGCCCATGGGGGGCCTGTCAGGGGCACGGGCACGCTCCAAAGATAACTTCAGCCCAGGATTCTGCAGTAGAGCTCCGTTGGCCCCGCGGAGCCCTCAAGCGACGCCCTCGGGGGCCATCTCGGGAGAGGGCCTGCTTGGGCTCTTTGGGCTTGTGGGCGCTTTTCAAGCCGTAGTGTGGCCCCATTTGAAGCCCTCTCAAGGCCATCTAGATCCGTCGCGCAGACATCCTGAGGATCCAGGGACGGAGCGGGAGAGACCTGTGAGGCCCTGGAGGGGAAGTTGGCCGAATTGGGGGTGCCAAAGCTCTGTGTTGGGCCCCCCCATGCACCGCTTAGACGTGGACGCGCGGATAACGCAGGGGAAAGTGGAGGAGGGAGGAGCCGAAGGGCAAACAACTGGGCATCACCGTAGGCTTTGCCCAATGGGCCCCCCTGATTTGTTTTGTGTGCGAAGGCCTGGTGGCCGTAGGCCTTGCCAACCCAATTCCTGAGCCCCCAGAGATCGCCCGTGATGCTCGGCCTCTTTCGGCTTGAACATTCCTGGCCCTATTTTGAGCTTGGATCCCGGACCCTCGAATGCCTTGCTTGCTTTGCTTCGCTTTGAAATGCGTGTCTTTCCGTTGCACTGCGCTGACTAGCCTTGCATATCTTTTCTTCACATGGCTGTGAATTGGCCTGCGTTGCTCGTACAGCTTTTTCTTTGCTAGAAATTCATCGTCTTGAACTGCGTTGTTGTGGCCAGCTTTGTATTACTGTGGTTTGCTTGCGCAGTTTGAAATGCTTAGTATTACCTTGTTTAGCTTTGCTTTGAGTTGCATTGCTGTTCATTGCAAGTCGCTGCTTTCACTTGCATTATTATGCACGTCTTGCTTTGCGTTGCTTCGCTTTGTTCTGAAATGCTCGGCCTTGCTATGCGTAGTGTTGCATTGCTTTGCGATGCTACGCCCTGCAATGCTGTTCATTTCGCTGCATCGCCGTGTCCTGCCCTGCATTGCTCTGGAGAAGAGCCGCAAACAGAAACTTGGCTTGGGATCGTGCAGGGCCCACCGTGCAGCCGTGCCGCGCGGAGACCCCGAACCCAAAGGGTTCCAGTGTGAGCCTGGGCCGCGCGCAGGGCGGGCGAGGCCTGAGGGGGGCGGGCGGAGGCTGGGCGAGGAGGGAGCGAGAGGGAGGAAGAGCGCGAAAAGCATCAGGAGCGCGAAGACGAGGACGAGGAGAACAACGAGGACGAGGAGAACAACGAGGAGGAGGAGGACGAGGACGAGGAGGACGAGGACGAGGAGCGCGAAGCCGAGGCGGGGCGAAGGCGGGGCGGAGGGGGGAGGCCCGGGGGCGGCAGAGCACATGCGCGCACACGAGGGCACCTCGGCAGGCGGGACCCCAGGCACGGCGCCGGCCCGGAGGCCTCCCCGCTGGGGTCCGAGCGGCGGGGGGTCGGAGGGTCGCGCCGCATCGCCAGTGCATCGGCGATGATCGGCGTTGCACCGGCGCCAGTTTGGCTCCGCATCGGGCCGCATCGCCGACCCATCTTCGATGCGGCGCGATCCTCCGACCCCCAGCTGCTCGGACCGCAGCCGTGAGGTCGCGAGGGTCCGGGGCCAGAGTGGCGATCCAGGCCGGTGAGCCTTCGCGGCGGCGCCTTCGCGGCGAGATCTCTTGTGCCTCGTCTGCGCAGAGGCCGGGGCTCAAGCGCGCCTTCCAGTCGCCCAGGCAGACGGCATCGAGCGTGCCAGCTGCGTCACGACCAAGTCGCCATCGGCGGCGGCCGCGTCAGCGGGCTACAGTGGACCCGTATCATAAGGATGCGCGGTAAGGATGCAAGGGCCTTGAAAGGCCACGTCGGCACTTTGCGGGCGGGGCGCGGCCAGCGAAAGCGGCCAAGGATGGGCCGAGGAGGCAAGGATGCAAGGGTGCCCTTGAGAAGCCTGCCCATCCTTTCTATTCTGCACGCCCTCGGCTTCGCAGGCACCTGCCGCGGGCGCGACCCGAGGAGCGCTCCGAGCGGGGAGGAGACTCTCTGGCCAGCCAGCGGCACGGGGGCCACCGTCCTCCAACCAGAGCGGGCGCCCGCGCCCGCGCGGGGGCCGCTCGGCAGCGGCTGCGCCAACGCCTCAGGCAAGCCGTCTTGATCCGTCTTGGGCCAGGCTGCGGGGCCCAGCGCTCCCCTCGGCACCATGCGGAAGAGCCCGCGGCAAAGAAGCTCGGGCCGGAGGTCCGCGGGGCCGCCCAGATACGTGGTCCCTAGATGCGAAGACGAGGACCTCGGTGAGACCCCGTCTGCATCGTGTCATTAGGGTTAGGGGTTCTGTCTGTTCTCGATGATAATGGGGCGCGTTGGGTTGGCTCGCCGCCAGCCGCCCAGCTGGGGAGCGCCAGGGAGCGCTTGGGAGCGCTTGGGAGCGCCTGGGAGCGCGTGGGAGCGCCTAGGAGCGCCTGGGAGCGCCTGGGAGCGCTGGGGAGCGCTGGGGAGCGCTTGAGAGCGCCGGGGAGCTTCTGCGAGCGCCGAGGAGCGTTGGGGAGCGCCTGATTGCACTTCCGCGCGCTGGGGGCACGACGCCTTCCTGGGATCCTGGAACGCACGCCACTCCCTGTGGCTGACGCCTGCGCACTTCCCCCTTTGACAGGGGGGAAGACCTTCTACAAGAAGCCCAACCTTGAGATGCCAGGACGTCCACTGATGTTTGGCGTGGGAACATCACGCTCTCCACAGCAAAACCCTCGAGACCCTGGAGGCAAGCGGGGTGTTTCTTGGCGTAGGTTTCCACTGTAGAGGTCCCCGGAAGTACGTCGGAGCTCCCCGGGAACTTCTGGAGGGCCCCCAAGAGACTGCAAAGGCCCCAGTGGAAGCCGCTGGAAGCCACCCGCATGCTTAAAAGCCTGGGGCGCCTCGTGGGGAGCCCAGGCCATAGATACTGCAGGCGGGCGAGGCCCAGGAGGAGGATGGTGGATGGGGAGGGAGAGGGAGGGGGAGAGGGAGCGATAGAGAGAGAGAGAGAGAGAACAAAAAAAAAAGAGAGATAGAGAGAGAGAGAGAAAGAGAGAGAGAGAGAGAGAGAGAAAAAGAGGGAGAGAGAGAGAGAAAAAGAGAAACAAAAAAAAGGGGATGAGAGAGAGAAGGGGATAGAAGCAACGCCCCGACTGGCGTCCGGCGCCCCAGAGTTTGGACCCGAGGGGCGCATCGACAGAGAGGCGCCGCTCCAGCAGGGCTCCATTTTGCGCGCGCGCGCCAGATGCAAGCAATGTGGCTTCCGCGCACACAAGTCGGCAGTCTAAAGCAGACGACGACGAAGACGACGACGACGACGACGACCTCCGCCCCTGGAGGTCTCTGGAGGCCCCGGGAGGCATCCGGGTGGGGGACCCCAGGGGCCCAAAACGGGCCACCGGCGCCCCAAAACCTCGATTCTGGAATCCTCGCACCTCGATCCTCGATCCTCGACCCTCGATCGTCGATCCTCGACCCTCGAGCCTCGATCCCCGAGCCTCGGTCGGCGGCGGCGTCGACGACGGCGGCGTGCGGGCGGCGCAATGCGGGGCGGAGGGCGGCGCGCGGAGGGCCCTGTGCGAGAGCGGCGCCACGGTGGGCACGCTGGACGCTGGCGTGTCGGTGGGCGCCGTGGGCTCGGAGACGCGGGTGCGCTTGGAGGCGCCCCCGATCCTCGCCAGGGGGGGGCCGTCTTCGGCGTCGCCCGTCCTCCTGCTCCTTTTGACGTTGCCCAGCCACGAAGAACAAGCTTGTTGCGTGCCGAGTGCAGGAAGAGCCCGCTGACCTGGCGAGGCGAGACACAAATTCAGCTGGCGGGCGCAGCGGACCAGGCAGTGCGAAAAGCACGGAAAAGCGTAGGGCCTTGGAGCATGCGCCCGCCAGGCGGTAAGACCCTCCTGCTGCTGCTGCTGCTGCTGCTGCTGCTGCTGCGGCTGCTGCTGCGGCTGCTGCTGCTCCTCCTCCTCCTCCTCCTCCTCCTCCTCCTCCTCATCATCATCCTCCTCCTCCTCCTCCTCATCATCATCATCCCGCCCTTCTTCTCTTCGTGCCGACGCCGAGGCGACGTGCGCTGGCTGGCAGTGTCTGGCCCTGCGCCAGACCAACCAGAGAGAGGGGGGGGGGGCATGCTTCTAGACAGCCTTTTATCCCCCCCAGGAATCGGAGCTTCCAAAGAGGTGTATATTGATCCGTCAACCCAGCACGGCATAGGTCTGAACCCTTCCGCGGGGCCGCAGTCTAGAAAGGGTTATATCCTGCATCACCGAAAACAGCCCTTCCCCGCGCCACGTTGGCCACAAGTGAGTTCAAGAACACATCAAATGGAAAGGCAAAACATTTACTCGAAACTGGCTGCGGCCCTCAGGGTGGGTCAAATCGAGAAACCACAGAATCTTCAATTGATTGCCGCCAGAAGGAGTGCGTCCGGAATCTCTCTCTCTCTCTCTTTCTCTCTCTCTCTCTCCCGTTCTCTGTTATATACATATATATATATGTATATATGGTTGCCCCCCAAAGATCAGACGTACTCCTTATCCTGGTATGATTTGTCTTCGTATCCGTCTTCGCTCTCTCTTCCAGCTTTTCCAGCTTGTCCAATTTTTCCCAAAGACCGCCCCAGTGAAAAATGCTCTACGTTCCACGTTGTCCAGCTTTTCCCAAAGACTGCACCAATGAAAAGCCATGTTTTTTCCCCGGCTTTTCCAGCTGTTCCCAAGAAGACTACCTCATTGAACAACTGTGTGTGTTTCCAGCTTTTCCAGCTTTGCTCAGAGACTACCCGCATGAAAAACATTGTGTTCTCCAGCTTGTCCAACTTTCCCCAATGTCTATCCCAGTGAAAAGCGCTGTGCTTTCCAGCCCCTCGAGCTTTTCCAGCTTTGCCCAGAAGACTACCCCAATGAAAAACGCTGTTTTCTAGCTTGTCCAGCTTTGCCGAGAGACTACCCCAATGAAAAACTCTTTGTTTTCCAGCTTTTCCAGCCGTCCCAAAAACTAGCCCAATAAAAAATGATATGTTTTCCAGCTTTTCCCAAAGACTACCCCAGTGAACAGTGCTGTGTTTCTCCAGCTTTTCCAGCTGCTCCCAGAAGCTACCTCATTGAAAAACGTTGCGTGTTCAAGCTTTTCCAACTTTTCCAGCTTTTCCCCGGAGACTACCTCATTGAAATGCGTTTTCCAGCTGTTCCGGCTTCTCCAGCTTTTCCCAAAAACTGCCCACATGAGAAACGCTGTGATTTCCAGCTTTTCCAATTGTTCTAGCTTCCCCAAAGACTACCCCACTAAAAAACGCTGTGTTTCCAGTGTCTCCAACTTTTCCCAGAGGCTACCCCAAATTAAAAAACGGTGTGTTCCAGCTTCTCCAGCTTCCCCAGCTTTTTCCAAACACTACCCCAAGGAACAAACATATATTTTTTTCAGCTTTTCCAGCTGCCCCCCTCAAAACAACAATCACAATGGAAAGCGCTGTCTTCCAGCTTTTCCCGATGACTATACCAGTGACAACGTTTTTCTATGTTTCCCATTTTTTCTAGATTCTCCCAGGGACTACGCGGCAGCGTGCTCCAGGGTGGTCCAGGGCAATGTATGGGACAAGCTGGAGAAGCTGGAAATCATATCAACCAGCGTTGGCTCCAAATAGATAGGAGGACAGGAGGAGTATGAGAGGAGAATGGGAGGACGAATGGAGGACGGGAGCAGGACGGGATGAGGACGGGAGGAGCAAAATCAAGCAAGCGCAAGCAAGCAAGCGCAAGCGAGCCATAATAAGCAAGCAAGAGCCAGCGGCCAAGTGCAAGCAAGCAAGGGCTCGCAAGAGCAAGCAAGCGAGAGCATGCACGCACGAGCAAGCAAGCAAGTGCCATTGGACAAAGGGGGGGGCGCCATTGGAAAAAGGGGGGGGCATTGGAAAAAGGAGGGGCTCCTAAAGACCAATTGCTTATGATGAGCCAGGACTCCTATAGGGCAAGCCTATTTGGAGAAAAGCGTGTTTCACTGGTGTAGTCTCTCTGGGAAAAGCTAGAACAACTGGAATCACACAGTGTGTTTCACGGGGGTAGTCTTTGGGATAAGCTGGACAAGCTGGAAAACACAGCGCTCTTCGCTGTGTTAACTTTTGGGAAGAGCTGGACAAGCTGAAACAACTGAATTGCACAGCGCCTTGTATGTGATAATCCTTGGGAACAGCTGGAACAGCTGGAACACACAACGTTTTTCACTGGGATTGTCTTTGGGAACCGGTGGAAAAAAGTAGACAACACATCGTTTTTCAATGGGGCGGTTTTGGGGGAAAGCTGGAAAAACTGGAAAATCAACGTTTTTCAATGGTGTCGTCTCTGAGAAAAGCTGGAGAAGCTGAACAAGCTTGACAACAACGTTTTTCACTGTGGCAATATTTGGAAAATGCGGGAGAAGCCAGAAAAGCTGAAAACACACCGTTTTTCACTTGTTTAGTGTTTTGTGGAAACTGGGAAAGCTTGAACACACAGCGTTCTTTTCACCGAGGTAATCTTTGGGAAACACTTGAAAAGCTGAACAGCCGGACATCAAATCGTTTTTTTTATACGGGTAAACTCTTGGAAAAGCTGGCAAAATGGGAAAACCTGGAACAGCTGGAAAACAAAGCGTTTCTCACTGGGGCAATCTGTAGGAAAGCTGGAGAATTTGGAAAAGCTGAGAATCACAACGGTTTTTCACAAAACGGTAATCTGGGAAAAAGTGGAAACGCTGTAAAAGTTGAAAACACTGCGTTCTTCAGTGGGGTAGTTTCTGGGAAAAATGGGAAAACATGGAACAGCTGGAAATCACAGCGCTTTTCAATGGGATGGTCTCTGGGAAAAGCTGGCACAGCTGGGGAAGCTGGGAAACACAGCGCTTCACTCTGACTGGGGCAAAGACAAAAGGATATATAGAGAGAGAGAGAGAGAGAGAGAGAAAAAAAAAAAAAAACAACAAACAACAGAAAAGAAAAACACAAGGTGAGGGACGGAGAGAGAAAGCGAGAAAGAGAGAGAGAGAGAGAAAGGACGGGTACGAAGACGAATCCGACCAGGATAAAAAAGAACATGTATGATCTTTGAAAGGGGGCGACCATCTCGCTCTCTCCCTCTCTCTATATATATGTGTAATGTGTGTGTATATATATATATAGCGTATATATTTACCCACTAGAACCATCGCGCGCGCTTCGAACGCGCACAAGTTCTAGCTAGGCTGGATCGTCGAACTCTTGGGGGTCTCTATTACAATACACTTCTTCTCTGGGGCTTTTATGAACAACGACGGCGGCCCAAGTGGCTGCCGGGACTTCCTACGGTCCACCCACGACGGCTTAAGACAAGCCAGCGAGGCATTTCGGGTGCACTTTTACTCGCCGCGGCTGGACGTTGCCGGAGAAAGAGGAGAGAGAAGGGGAGGTGAGGGGGGGCGAAGGAGAAGGATGATAAGGAGGAGTTGGGGAGGGCGGGGGAGGCCGCAGAGGAGGACCTCGGAGGCCCTCCAATGCAGCGCAAAACCTGCACGTTTAGCCGCGTCGAGCCGCGGCTGCTGCCTCCTCGCGCAGACGCACGCGAGCGGCCAGTGCCTCCATGCCCGCTGCGGGAGTGAGACGCATACTCGCCGAGGAGGCAGTGCTGACGGGCGCCGCTGGTAGCAGCGCAAGCTTGGTCGTGGCAGGGCATGTCGTGCCTGACCCCGCGGCCGCCGTCACCCCTGAGCTGGCGGGGATGGAGGCCGCGTCGAATGCGGGAAAGAACTTCTCTGCCGCGCGGCCCAGGTACACCGTTGCATCGCACCGCCAACTTGAAGCACCGCTCGCTCGAGCAAGCGCCGCAACGGACACAAAACGCTAGCGGCTCGCACTCAGCCGTTTGGCGGAAGGTGGTGCGCAGGAGGTGGCCATGGGAGCTCGCTTCATCGTGCGCTCGGCACATGGCCGTCGGGGGGCCCTTGCACCCGTCAGTCGGGCGATGCGCATCGTTGCGCACCGCGAAACACCAGCTGCGCCGAAACGCAGGCGGGCCCTCGGAGTCGGCCCCAGGGTCCAAGCTGACCCAGTCGAGCCATCTGAGGGCGCGGGGCCTGGGCGCACAAGCGCCCCTGGGGTCCCGCGCAAACTCCAGGTTGGGGAAATGACGAAAGGACAGCAGCATGCATCGAAACCACTTTGTGGAGGAGAACATCTTCGGAGTCTGGGTGCGCGAGCTCCTCCGCAGGAAGACCAGTGCGAAAGCGCCGCGGCGTGCTTCGCCAAACGGTCGGCGCCCGCGCTGCCGAGAGCGACCTTGCGCTCATGCGGGGGCACGGCCTCGGTGGCCCCTTCAGACCGATTGGCCTGCGCGCGGCAGTCGAGGCGATGCATTCTGCCCCTCTTCGGAAGGGGCACGCCTGCGGAGGCGAGTGAACACTCGACGGGGGTCCACTTGCGAGGATGCCCGAGAGGTGGCCGGGCGAACCGCTCCCAAACATTCGTCGTGCACCTCGCTGCAGCCCGTCACGAAACAACTGAGAATGGCGATCCAAAGGCGTTCGCGCGACTGGGCGGTCTGGGGCAGACCGGGCCGCGCCGCCCCGAGGACCTCGGCGCGGATTTCGCGCGCGTCCACCAGGGGGCGAAAAGACGGCCGCGTACGAGGCCCTGTTGACCTCTTGAAAAAAACACTTTGGCTCGCTGATCC